GGGGAGGGGGGGGGGGGGGAGGTGTAATGCGGTAGAGAAGGGTCGCTGACCTTGACGGCAGCAGAGAGGAATCGATGAGCCATCGACTCCATGTCATCCTCTGCTGTCACAAACGCCTGGTGGTGGGAAAGGGAGAGGCGAGGGCTGCTTGGGGATTTCCAGAAGTATGTGTTCGGCATGGAATAAATCAATGAGCCATTGAATTGAACCCATGCCACTGTCTGCTCTCATAAACGCGTGGTGGTGGGAGCAAGAGCGGCGGGGTGCAGCAGAGTGAGGCGGATCTACGCTACTTCTTATAATTCCCAAACCTAACGGGGTTTAAGATTCTTCAAGAAATGTGTGGGACCCTGGAAAAGGTGCAGCAGCTTCATGCAGTCGAGGGCAGAGAGAAGAGCGAGCTTGATCTGACTTACTTGTAATAATCTTTTTCTAAGATTCCTAAAAAGGTTAGGTTACCTGGAAGTGGTGCAGCAGCTTCATGCGGTCGAGGGCAGAGAGCAGAGTGAGGCGGTCGATGGACGTGGCCACAGCACACGGCACTCCTGCCTTCTGCAGCGCATCCAGCCACTCCTGCACGCCCTCCAGTGGCGCTCGCACCTGGCATATGAGGAGAGGGTGGAGAGGACGACGAGACTGAAGCAAGAATGGCCTTCTGCAACTCATCCAGCCACTCCTGCACGCCTTCCAGTGGCGCTCGCACCTGATGTGAGAGGAGGGGTAGATAGAGACGATGATAGGGTCGTGGGTGGTTCAAATCAAGAATGGCCTTCTGCAGTGCGTCCAGCCACTCCTACACGCCTTCTAGTGGCGCTCGCACCTGACATAGGAGGAGCATAGAGGGGAAGATAGGGACGTGGGTTCATATCAAGAATGGCCTTCTGCAGCGCGTCTAACCACTCCTGCACGCCTTCTAGTGGCGCTCGCACCTGACATAGGAGGAGCATAGAGGGGAAGATAGGGACGTGGGTTCACATGGCCTTCTGCAGCGCGTCTAACCACTCCTGCACGCCTTCCAGAGGCGCTCGCACCTGGCGTGAGAGGAGGGTAGAGACGATGATAGGTTCACAGGTCCAAATCAAGAATGGCCTTCCAATGGCGCTCGCACCAGTGCTTGTTGTAAAAGCATGTGTGCATGAGAGGGAGGGGGAAGGGGAGGGAGGGGGGGAGTGAACCTTGAAGAGCTGGCAGCAGCCGTAGTGCTCAGAGAATCCGTACTTGAGTAACAGAACGGTGGGCGCATTGTGAGACATCTCAGATCTAATCTACTTTCACGGGGAGGGAGGAGGGTAGCAGAGCTTACCTTGGAGAGCTGGCGGCAGTAAAGCTCAGAGAGCCTGTCTTTGAGTGACGCAATGGTGGGCTCATCTGAAGCCCAGAAAAGCACCTGTGAGGAGAGGACGTGGGGAGGAGGATGAGCTCAAAGAGCCTGTCTTTAAGAGACGCAATGTTGGGCTCGTCTGAAGCCCAGAAAAGCACCTGTGAGGAGAGGACGTGGGGAGGAGGATACGTCGCGCAGGCACAGAAATACAGGGTTGAATCAGGAGGAGCAATTCGGGCAGAGACATGAGATTGGAGACGTGAGGACTATGAACTAACCTTGAATGGGTAACCAAAGTAGGAAGGGTTGAAGGAGTGAGAAGAGAAAGAGTAAGAGGTTGGCAGAGTCGGAAGGAAGGGCGCACTGATTTGATGCAGTGGGCAGGGGAAGCCGTTGAGAGCTGGCGGAGTGAGGAAGGAGAGTCGGGCAAAGGCTTCCCTGTGAATGAATGGGGAGAGAGCGAGAGAGAGTCGGGCAAAGGCTTCCCTGTGAATGAATGGGGAGAGAGCGAGAGAGAGTCGGGCAAAGGCTTCCCTGTGAATGAATGGGGAGAGAGCGAGAGAGAGTCGGGCAAAGGCTTCCCTGTGAATGAATGGGGAGAGAGCGAGAGAGAGTCGGGCAAAGGCTTCCCAGTGAATGAATGGGGAGAGAGCGAGAGAGAGTCGGGCAAAGGCTTCCCTGTGAATGAATGGGGAGAGAGCGAGAGAGAGGCAGCGAGAGATGAGAGCACAACAAGTGAACGATCCGTGCAAGAAGGAGAATGTCGGAATAACAAAACATAGACACAACGGGTCAGTAGCATTGAGATAGAGTGCGAACGGGCAGTGGGGAAGGCAGTGGCACAGTGATGCCTCCGTGTCTCATGACCTCAACCGCTGGCTCACCTACTTCCTCTGCCAGCTGCTTCCAAGCCTCAAATCTCAGATCACGGGTGTTGGCCTGACCACACAGGACGCATGCAGACAAAAAGATGCACAGAATCATTGACAGACGAGACCATAATGCACCAATGCACAATGAAAACCAGAAAAGCCATATGTCTTATGGAGTACACGAGTCCAAAAGCCGAGACGACTCTGAATGCCTCAGAGCGCATCACCCATGACAACACGCCTTTCAAGGCCGATCTCAAGTCAACTGAGAAACATACAATGACATCGACCCATACCAGGATTACACGAGTCCGAATGCAAATGTTTGAGTCGACTTGAATACATACAATGACGTTGTCCCAGGAGTACACAAGTCCAAATGCCAATGTTTGAGTCGACTTGAATACATACAATGACGTTGTCCCAGGAGTACACGAGTCCAAATGCAAATGTTTGAGTCGACTTGAATACATACAATGACATTGTCCCAGGAGTACACGAGTCCAAATGCCTCGTCTGGTCGCATGGCTAGGCGTATCCTGTCCACCCCTCTCTTCCTCATGCGATCGTTGAGGAAATCCTGACAGAGACGGTAGAATAACAGAAGGTTTGTTTGAAAGGCAGTTGGTGTGGTAACCTGGATAAAGATGAACTGAGAAGCATGGGTTGGAACTGGGAGGAAAAATAATAAGTCATGCTCCAATCACAGCTCACCACGTCAACTTGCAGGGCTCCTTTGGGTCGAAAAGTGGCAAACCCCTCCCCTCTCTCCGCTCCGATCTCCTGAGAGGCGACAAGATGAGTCGAAGGCGAGTAAGGGGCTGGGGGGTGGATTAGCACACTATAGCTAACAAAAGGAGGTCAGATAACGATCAAAAGGAGCAAACCGACTGTGCCTACGCCATTACAGAACCTTTCAGGGATCGCACCTCTTCACCAGGAAAGGGCCCTGGTTTGCCTCGTCTGGCCTGAATCAGCGGATTTGATTGAGGCGAAACGGCCTTCGGATCCACTGCACTCTCGCTGCCGCTGCCACTGCTGGTGCTTCTGCTGCCGCTGCTGCTGCTTCTGCTTCCGCTGTTGTCGTGACACTGGGCGCTGAAGCATTTCCAGCTCGGGGATGATTTTAATGATCTTGAAGCTTTGCAGTATAAGCTCGTCGACGAACGAGAAGGATGTAGGGCGAGATGCTGACTTTGAAAATACGGAAAGCATTCTGTCGTCGCGATTTTTTTTCGTACCCTCACGATCGAATCTGTTACAAGGCAACTACGGTGGTTTCGAGGGCATAATGACGACGCTCTGATGTGAATGGGATTTACATACGGACAAAGATTATATACACGAGAGGTATGTGAAAAAGGCTGCGCAGCAGCTATAGGCGTGCAGTAGGAGGCCATGGAATCAGCGTGTCCTAGTTCGTAAGGACGAGTGATGACAATGCTGCATGATGCAACCTGACTTGTTTCTAGTCTATATCCCTGTGATTGCGAGCCTCGATAACATGCCAGAGAAAAATGGAGGAAATGACATATTGTTATTGAGGTTGTTCCGAAATCCGAATACTAACAAGTTACTGAATTTTGGCTGTGCCGCGTATTTAGAGTTGTTTGCGAAGGACCAGGTTTATGTGGCTTCCTGACATTTGTCGACACGTGTCTACCTTGTTCGGATTTCGTCTAGTTGGCCGAACCGTTGCGCGTTGGCCCTCGACCTGGCCGAAATGAGTTCACGAGCCAAAAAAGTCACCCACAATTTAGGTTCGGCCCGCAGCTACGTCGCCTTTCGGAGCCGAACCTTCACCCTGCCTGCGCGGGAAACCTTCCACCGCCGCGTATGGGCACCGTGGCCTCGACAGGCTGTTGCTGTCCTCACTTTGCACGGCCCTCCAAACCACGGGCTTGCCGCTGATGGTCATCCAGCACCACACCCAACTCTCCGTTGGGAAATAAACGCATCCAAGGACCGATATCAATTCCCCGATTTGCCTAGACGGCGTAGATTCTTTTGAACGTTGCGCGGCGAAGCGTAGCGAAAAGGTGGGTCAAGCCTAGGGCGGGCGACGAGGGGGAAATCCCAATAATCGCACAGGGCTTGGATGCTTTTCCTCCTTGCCTCGGTGTTGTTGGGGTGGAGCGGAATATGGTCAGCAGGGGGACGAGCATGATGGCAACTTCATCTCTTCCTTGCCGCACTGGAATTCGTAGCAGTCTGGTAGATGAAGCAGGGAGGAGGTTCACAACGTTCAGTGTGAGCGTTTCGGCCTTGTCAAGTAGTGACCCTGGAGGAGATATCTCCTTCCAAAGCGCTCCTCGTGACGTTAAACTTAGGGATTGCCAGCAGCTTCGTTGGTTTGCAAGATCTAAATTCCTGGAGAATTTTGAATACTTATGGTGAGAGAGCTTAGGTTATACGATTGATTGGTTCGACTTGCTGGACGACTGGCCGCCTCGTTTTGTTCGAGCGAATCACTTGCTAATCTTAACGATTTATTGAATCGCACTCTGAAAATGGACGAGCGGGAGTTTTTTACGGAGTACGGAGAAGCTAGCAAGTACCGTTTATTAGAGGTGATAGGCCGAGGCAGCTATGGCATCGTTTGTTCAGCCATAGATACGCACACAGGGGAGAAGGTCGCGATTAAGAAGATTAATGACATATTCGAGCACGTGTCAGACGCCACGAGGATTCTTCGGGAAATTAAGCTCCTTAGGTTGCTCCGTCACCCTGATATAGTGGAGATCAAGCACATCATGCTTCCTCCGTCACGGCGAGATTTCAAGGACATCTATGTCGTTTTTGAGCTGATGGAATCTGACCTTCATCAAGTAATTAAGGCGAACGATGACCTTACACCTGAGCACTTCCAATTCTTCCTCTATCAGCTGCTGAGAGCTCTGAAGTACATCCACACAGGTACTGCACTCGAGATTCATTGATAAGTGTTGCTACAGTAGGTTCGAATTCTAATTTCGCACCTTCCGTCCTTTTCAGCCAACGTGTTCCACCGAGACTTGAAGCCGAAGAACATCCTGGCGAACGCTGACTGTAAACTAAAAATATGCGACTTTGGCTTGGCTAGGGTTGCTTTCAGCGATGCGCCAACGGCCATTTTCTGGACGGTACGACACTTGCTGTGTCCCTCATTCTTTAGTTTACTTGTCGATGTGCTCTCTGTAGGGTTCCCGTGAGGAGTTCAGCAGCTCGTTTCCAACGTCAGCCTTTTACGTCAGACTTGGCTAATTCGTGCATGTGTCGGTCCACCTTTCAGGATTACGTGGCCACGAGATGGTACAGAGCCCCTGAACTGTGTGGCTCTTTCTTCTCCAAGGTATCCGTCTTTCCGTTGGTTCATTTCTATTCGTATCCTAGTTTTCATCCGCTCACGTTATTTTCGCGTCTGATAACAGTACACTCCCGCCATTGACATCTGGAGCATAGGGTGCATCTTCGCCGAGCTTCTGACTGGGAAACCGTTGTTCCCTGGGAAGAATGTGGTTCACCAACTCGAGCTCATGACCGACCTTCTGGGAACGCCTTCACCAGAGTCGATCGCCAAGGTGAGCCAAAGCTGGTTTCTGGGATCATTCTCGTGCAGATTTCGTAGCCTTGTCTAAATACCTCGCGAATCTCTCTGCCAGGTTCGAAACGAAAAGGCACGGAGATATCTTGGGAGCATGCGGAAGAAGCAACCAATGCCATTGTCGGCGAAGTGCCCGAACGCGGACCCGCTTGCTGTGAAGCTGATGGAGAAGATGCTCGCATTTGATCCGTCACACAGGCCGACTGCCGAGGAGGTACATTACTGTCGGCCATTCAGGTCATTTGTTGCGTTGGCAATCATGAGAATTTGACTAAACGAAAGCTTACCTTTTGCAGGCTCTTGCCGACCCTTACTTCAAGGGCCTGGCCAAGGTTGAAAGAGAACCTGCGGCTCAACCCATCACCAAGGTGGAATTTGAGTTTGAGAGGCGAAGACTGAACATGGACGATGTCAGAGAGCTCATCTACCGCGAGGTAAGGCTTGAAAGTTGTTTCTCACCAATCCATCTTTCCTTGCTTACCGTGACACAGGGCTTTACATAATAACCCCTTTTACCTGATTGCAGATTCTGGAGTATCATCCTCAGATGCTGAAGGACTTCCTCAACGGGACGGATCCTGGAAACTTCTTGTATCCAAGGTATGGCGGCTGTGGTGTGTTGCATGGGGAGGGGCTAGTGTGGGAATTCTTCAGGCAGAATGCTGAACTGAGGGTTTACATTTTCATCAGGAAATATGGATGATATTTAGTACACATCAGGAATTTGAACAAAGACTCTCTCATTTCCGCGAAAAGGATGTAAATGTTATCGGTGAAGGCCTAACCAATGGTAGTTGTGTGGCTGAAGTGGCCTATGGTGTATTCCCCGGTGAGCGTGAACTCAAATGCTGCTCTGTGTTATGTTGTGTGGGGCCTTGCAGTGCTGTGGACCAGTTCCGACGTCAGTTCCACACCCTAGAAGAGCATTATGGCAAGGCGGGCGACGCACCGTCGCTGGAGCGCCAGCATGCCTCCCTCCCAAGGTACGCATCTCATCATGGATGGCTCACATTGCTCAAGCCCATGTCTTTTGCTGCCTCGGGGTTTCGAGCTGACTTACGGAACTTGTCGATTGCGTGATCAGGGAACGCGTTGCTGGTGAGAGGAATGAACCACGGGATGAGGCTCAGTTGGAAGAGGAGAGGAGACGAAGAGCAGCAAGGCAGCAAAGGGCATGGGCACAATCAGGATACAAGGGTACGCTTCAGCGATTAGTGATGGACTTGTGCCTGTGATCCTGCACATACCTTCCCTTCCCATGCCCCATTTACACCCATCCACTGGAGCCATTCCTCCAATCCCTTCCACCCTCCCTAAGACCCAATGTCTTGCACCTCTCCACTTCGGAGCTTAGGTATGCCCTACTCTTTTCCTAATGTCTTCCACCCTACAGTATTCAGCATCTCCCCCCCTCCCTGCTCATCAATGACTTTCCACCTCCACACTCTTCAATGTTCTTCCCCCTCCCCACTCTTCAATATCTCCCCCTCCACTTTTCAATACCATTCCACCTCATTATTCTTACAATGTTATTCTACCTCCTCTTTGATGGCATCCCCACTCTTTAGCACCGTCACTAATATTCAATGCCATTCTTCCTCCCCACACATGACATTCCCCCTCTCCACATTTCAATGTAACCAACCTCCCCAGTCTTCTCTGCTAGTCACCCTTCCTACTCTTCAATATCCACCACCAACACCACTTCTTGATCTCTTTCACCAATTTACCCCTCAATCTTTGCCACTCTCTTTCTAACGCCTACCGCCCTCTTTAACCCCTATCTTCCTCCACCCTTCCTGCTTTCTACATCATCCGCCTCTCTCACACCAACTTGCAGCTGGAGTGGGGCAGCCTGCAGCGCGCCCTGGCAGGGTAGTGGGGTCCAGTGGAGGAGCAATGAACGGTGCACAGAGAGACGATGTGCGGCGGTACGCTCGCACAGCAGCACTGAGTGCGCAGTCCCCGTTTCACATCGGCAGCCAACTAGAAGACTCCACCAGGAAACCAGCGAGGCAGGAGGCAGGAGCTAGATAATTGGCGTGTCACTTCCCCTGTCGTTAACCATTTATGCAATTTCTTGAGTTTTAACAAGTTGGCTATCAGCAAGCAATCCTGCAGTGCAGCACCCCCTTGAAGGTGCACTCCATATGGCTCGGCTTTTTGCCACACATTTCAGCAAGTGCTATACTAGCCTCCCCTGCCTCCTAGCTGCCAACATCCTGTAATAGCTTGCTCATCATCCAAATGTCAATCAAGATAGATCATCATAATGCAGGACAAGTACACTGTAGCCAAGGACTAATAATGGGAGTACTGTTAATGCGCTAAGTCAAGACAGATGAGTTGAGGACCTAAAAGGAGCAAAGCCCCATACGAAACTGCCTGCCCTTGGCAATCCCCAACGAAGCCTCGTGTTTATTCATTCCCTCCTTCCTCCGCATTCTCGCCTCTTTTCCCACCCCCTCCTCTGTGCGAGCTGGCACCTCCCTCCCCTTCGAAATAATCCCCGCTTCCTGTGGCACTGTTCAGACCACCACCAGCAGCGGCACCACCACCACCCTTGCCTGCCTCCCCTCCTCCCGCACCTCCTCCACCCCCCCACGATCCTCCTCCTCCTCCCATTCCTCCTCCGCCTTCCCACCCACCCATGCTACCATCCGCACTGCCCATTCCCCCTCCGCCTCCTCCCATTTGCCCTCCTCCCCCTCCCCCTCCTCTTCCAAAGAAGGCTGGGTTGATGTGGGGAGCAACACCAGGCAGACCACCGCCCATGTTTGGGAACCCACCCCCCATGCCTCCCCCCATGCCTCCCCCCATGTTTCCCCCCATGTTTCCCCCCATCCCTCCCCCAGGGCCCATTTGGTAGAACCCAGGGCCTCCCCTGGGGAAGCCCCCCCCTCCCCCTGGCGGACCAACAAAACCTCTTCCCCCTCCTCCCCCTCCCCCTGCCACAGTCCCCCCTCCTGCCCCCATTCCCCCAGGGCCAATTGATGGGTCGAACCCCCCACCTCCCCCCATAGGGGGGCCTCCGGGGAAGGGCATTCCCCCTGTACCAGCTCCCCTTCCCCCTCCCCCTCTTCCCATGCCCCCTCCTCCCCCCATTCCTCCACCCCAGTCCCCACCTGCCCCGCCTCTCCCCCCTCTTCCCCCATCTACCCCTCCTCTTCCCCCCATCCCCATGCCCCGCCCAGGCATCATGCCCCCGCGCCCAAAGCCTCTCCCTGGCCCAGAACCTCCCCCCATAGGGCCCGCTCCGCCCATGCCTCCCCCCATGCTTCCCCCCATGCCTCCCCCCATGCCTCCCCCCATGCCTCCTCCCATGCCTCCTCCCATTCCTCCCCCCATTGGCCCTCCCCCACCCATTGGGCCCCCTCCTGCCCCCATCCCCCCTCCCATGCCCATACCACCCATGGGACCCACCATACCCCCCCCCATCCCTCCCCCCATCCCCCCTCCCATCCCCCCTCCCATCCCTCCTCCCATTCCTCCCCCCATTCCTCCCCCCATTCCTCCTCCCATACCTCCCCCCATCCCTCCCCCCATACCCCCCATACCTGGCCCCATTCCCCCCATTCCCATCGGGCCCCCCATCGGCCCTCCACCCCTTCCAGGAAAGTTCCCCATCCCCCCACCCCCACCTCCTCTTCCTCCACCCATAGGCCCCATTCCCCCCATCCCCCCCGGCCCGCCCATCCCCCCCATGCCACCGCCCATGCCTCCCCCCATTCCGCCCATTCCTCCCCCCATCCCCCCGGGACCTCCCCCCATGGGGCCCATGTGGGGGCCAGGTTGGGCGGAAGCCATAGCAAGGTGCCTTAGGGTTTGGGGGGTGGCAGGTGTGACTATACAGGGGCGGCCATTGAAGAGCCGCCCAGCCATGTTCTCTTTACAAGCACGTGCCGCTGCTGCATCTGCGAAATCAACCTGTGAGGACCGGGCGACAGGCACGGTTTGGAGCAAAAAACACGCAAAAGAACATAAGAGGCCTGCGACGAGACAAGAGAGTGAATGCAGAAGAGAATGATTAGAGAACAGAACCAGAAGCAAATGGGGGGAGGCAAGCCACACTACACTCTGTAAAAAGGTCGCGCCAGGTGCTTTAATGCTTTAATCTCCATGGCACGCACCTGACAGTACCCCTTAGACCGCCCAGTGGCTTTTTCTTCAAAGAACTTCACCCCCACCACTTTGCCGAACTCAGACGCCCCCGCCTCTATGTCCGCGTCTGTCGTCCACCAGTGCAGGTCCCCCACAAACACCGCCAACCCCTCAAACCCCCCTCCCCCTCCGCCTCCCCCTCCGCCCATGCCTCCCCCGCCGCCGCCTCCGCCGCCTCCTCCTCCGCCAGGACCCATTCCCATTCCCCCCTGCCCCATTCCGCCTCCACCTTGTCCCATTCCGCCTCCCCCCTGCCCCATTCCGCCTGAGCCCATTCCGCCGGGTCCAACTTGCCCCCCACCCATTCCTGCGCCCATGGCCCCCATTCCCCCTCCGCCAGGCCCCATTCCGCCCTGCCCCATCCCACCTTGCCCCATCCCGCCTTGCCCCATCCCACCCATTCCCCCTTGACCCTGAAACCCTCCACCCCCCTGCCCTTCCCCTTGCGCCATCTGCCCAGGTTTTCCACCCATTCCCCCGCCGTGCTGCTGCTGCGTGCCGGAGTTTCCGCCTCCGCTTGCTGCTTGCCCCGCCATGCCCTGCGCGGGACGATGCGCCTGGGAGGAACTCCCGTCCGCGCCTGAGGTTCCGCCTACGCTTCCCCCTTGCCCCGCCGGCTCTTGCGCATTACCTCCCGGTTGCGCGTTGTGCGCGATCGCCCCTTCAACTCCCCCCTGGCCTCCTCGGTCTCCGCCATCACCGCTGTCGCCTCCGCTGCCGCCGCCACTAACGTTCTCGCCGTCGCCGTTGCCGCCGCTTCCGGCTGCTCCGCCGCCAGCACTACCTTTCCGCTCTTCGTCCTCGTTATGAGCTTCGCCTTCTCCTGCTTTTAACGCGTCTCCGTCATCTTCGACTTCGTATGTTAATTCCAACTCCTCGTCCTCGGGGTGATCCGCCATATCGATGCGGCTACAAACGAGAGAAGATCAACAGTAATCAGTGGTTTTGAATAGCTCGCGACGGAGATTACGCGGATCGGCAGGGCAACAGGAGGGACGCTGAGCATCGAAAAAATGGCGGGAACTGGGAGTGCTGTTGATGGTGGGCCTGGAGCAATTTCTAGGGTGAGTTGAAAAAATTGATGCTTTCGAACAGTAAAGGTGGTCATTTCTGCTCAACACCACTCAACCACTCGAAATTCTTGAGACACCGTTTAGAAAACCTCATTACACAGCCTTTTGAACCATTTCCACGCAGTTCAGTCGGTTTTTACGGATCTTGATCCCGTTTGTCTTAGACGAAGTGTTAATAACGCGTATTCTCTGATCCTTCAGCAGCAGTTTCTAGTCTGAGATACGCAGTCTAGTTTTGTCAACCCCTGAAAGGTTACTAGTCTTACCCTTAGTAGGCTTTGCATGCAGACATTTGGGACCTGGAAACCATGGAGACCAGTTCAGAGCCCGTTGTAAGCGACCCTCAAGCCTGTATCGCGGATGGAGATTGTTTTGTCAAGTCCAGAGAAACGTCAGGGTCGTTTGAAGCCGCGTCGTCAGACGAGCGTAGAATCGAGTCTTCCGCTCCGACTAGCGGGTTGCCGGAGTGTTACGTGATCGTGCATAACGTGGCCAAGAGACATAATATCGGCATGCTCCTTCGTAGGTACGGGAATAAGGATGTCGTGGTTTTTCCCTTACCAGCTTTCGGTCTCTGATTTCGTGCGTGTAAGTAGTAACAAACAAGTAGTATTGTTTCAGCACTAAGAGTGCAGGCTAATCTCCGCTCCCCGCTCTCCTAACCGCATACTCTCTTCTCTCCTTTCCTCTTTCTCCAACATCACCTTCCCTGGACCCCTCTTCTCTTATAATCACATCCCACAGTGCCACGGCGTTCAGCGTGCATCAGATCCTGGTGATGGGTCGGAGGGATTTCAGTGCGTTCGGCAGCCATGGAGCCGCGGATCACGTCTCGCTGAAGCATTTCAATACACTCACAGACGCCAAATCCTACCTCCAGGTTGGTTCTTGAGGCTCCTCGTAAGACTTTGCAGCGTCTTTGATGCGCGTCAAACGATTTCAGTACGTTCGGCAGCCATGGGGCCGCGGATCACGACTCTCTGAAGCATTTCAACACTCTCACAGACGCCAAGACTTACCTTCAGGTTGGTTTCATTATTCTTGTGAGTTTTTGTCATTACACTAAGTTTTGTCACTGCATTATTTCTTGTCTCTATAACATTAACATTCTTGTCATCACGGCGCTCTTGTCATTACACCATCCTTCTTGTCATTGCACCATTTTTGACGTGATGCCATTCTTTCATTACATCATTCTTGACATTACACCATTTTTATCATTATGTTTGCACCAATGCTCCTTTCAAACCGTCCCTTGTGCTGATGGTACGCTGTTGCCATTCATTATCTGTTTTCAAGTCATTCCAGTGTCCTAGTGATGTCATGCCAATGTCGTATCATTGGCGTGCACTGACTTTGCGATATCATGCCAGTGACATGGCAAAGTCATGCGCGTGCCATACTGACTTCATCTTGTTAACGACTCTGCCTTCGTACTTGTAATGTTCACGCACGCCATGCCATGTTGTGTCTACCCGTCCCATGCCATGTCTACGCATCCCAAACCATTTCCATTGTATGTGGGCAGTAGTGGAGATCGTGGACAATGCACGCCCCATACAGTCACATCCATTCACTGGCAACACCGCTTTTCTCCTTGGCAATGAGGTATCTATCATTTGCTCTACCACACATCCCCCTCTCTCATGCCATTTTGCTCATTCTTCCACCCTCGCATATACTCTTACAGACTTTACTCCTCTTCCATCTTCCCTCCCCAAAGGGCAGCATTATGCAAATTACACTCTTGAGCAACAGGATCAACACTGTTAAAGCATCATCTTAAAAGAAAGTTTGCATTAAAAAGAGCCTCCTTGTGTAAACTGGTTCTCTGCCCTCTCCTTGCCCTTTCCTGCCCTCGCGCAACTCCCACCAGGGCACAGGGCTCTCTCCCACGGAGCTAGCAGTGTGTGACTCGTTTGTCTACATCCCACAGCACGCCCGGCTTTTGGCTTGACTCACGAGTCACCTCCGTCCGTCACCCCCATCCCACCAGGGCACGGGGCTCTCTCCCACAGAATTAACAGTGTGTGACTCGTTTGTGTACATCCCGCAGCATGGCCCCGGGACCGCGTCCCTCAACGTCATTGTCGCTGCCTCCATCGTCCTGCACCACTTCGCTGGTGAGCTGGTGTTGGCATATCTTACAACTCGCACATGAATCTTTGTGACAAGAGCTCTATTCTGCAGTTTATTTTGAACCACACCATGCACCCCACCATGCACCCCACCATGCACCCCACCATGCACCCCACCATGCACCCCATCATGCACCCCACCATGCACCCCACCATGCACCCCACCATGCACCCCACCATGCACCCCACCATGCACCCCACCATGAACCCAGTCATGCACCCCTTATGCAGCTCCTCATGCTGTCAATGTCTTGTCCTGCTAGGATGAATGCTACAAAATCTGCCTTGGAATCGTACGCTACAACTGCCATACGTTCTTTGCTTCTTGCATCCCCTTCCTTAATCCAGTTTGGGCACAGTACCCTGAGCGGGAGCGAGAAGGTGCTAAATTCTCAGTGGCTGCCCGGCCACTGAGAAGGGGCCCTCGAAATCGCTGCCCTGAAGATCCTGCTGAGCTGGCCGCTCGACGGCAGAGCAGGCAGGATGCAGCAGAGGGTGACACGTGGCAGGATATGGAAGATGGTTCTTTGGGATTGCTGGAAGGGGAGGAGGAGGAAGGGGAGTCATGAGCCTTCTCCCTTGAGACAACTGAACTGAGGTGTCGTTTCTGATTTGCCATTACAATGCATGGTGGACTGATGCACTTTTGCTTCCTTGCAGCTCATACATATCTGTACCAATAGCCTCCATTATCCATCTGCTGGCCTTCAGCTTGACATTGGTCCAGTAGAGAAAGCTACAGTACGTGAGGTTATGATGCTCAGCCCAATAAGGTATCAATTTAGCTGAACGTTTCCGACTGGAATGGATCATTCTCCTCTGCTCACTACCAGACTGCCTGCAGATTATGTGGTGGAGAATTTTAGGGCCCCATTGAATACACAACATGCATCCACTCAGTACAACCAGCGCCTACACTGATCTTTTCCCCAGCAGTCTACACACTGGCGGTTGGGCATGCAACATTTTGTACCTTCTATGCAGTTCCTCATCATCAGTTCTACCCCGTCAGATCTACCCCATCCGTCAGTACTGCCCTGTGTTCCACATCCATCCGAGCGTCACTTCTGCTTCCTTGCACCCCAAGCCACGCGCCATCTTGAACCTGACACACAGTGAACGCGAGCATGCGAGGAGGTTGCAGGAGGATACAAGTGATTCAGTTGGCAAGTTGGTCTCCATTCAGAGCACCAACAGGCAGCAGTATGCAGCCTTCCGCCATCACACCAGATGGATGATGTTCGGCAATGCTGATGCATGCAGGTACACAGAAATGAGTTGCACATAGAAACACATGCATGCCACTACATCCATCCACCATCCGCCACGCACCCATGCCACAGCACGCATGCATCCACACGGCCATACCACATCATCCATGCCACTACATCCATACATGCATGCACCCATGCTGCTGTGCCGACCCATGCCACAGCAAGCATACCATCGGATGGCCTCTTCAATGCTCGGCTTCCCCGTGCCCTCCCCATCCAGGTACATGTACCCCAGCAGCAGCTGCCAAGAGGGGCAAACAGAGCAACGCATCAGCCTTCTCATTCAGAGTTCGTCTAAGAAGCTCACAGCGGCAGCACAAAGCAGATCATCAACACATCATCGGCACCGCATCAGCCTGGGCAATCAGGGTATGTCTCAGACACTCACAGCAGCAGCAGCAGCAGCAGCAGCAGCAGCAGCAGCAGCAGCAGCAGCAGCAGCACGGAGCAGAGCATATCAGAGCGGCTCAGATCAGCCGCACCTGTTCATTCAAGATACATTCAGATACTCACAGCAGCAGCAGCACCGAGCACAGGATCCGCCTGGGCGTTGCGAGCCGCACGCAGCAGCCACGCCAGAGCCTCCTCCTCGTCCCGCGGCCAGTCCCCATCCCCTCTATAGTACGCCTCGCCCATTCGATACTGGCTCCCCTGGTGCCCCATTCTCGCCGCCTTCCTGTACCACTCCAGCGCCCTCTGCTGCTCCCCCCTCGCTTCCATCACCCTCGCCATAATCACACACGCATCCAGGTTCCCTGCTTCAGCTGCCCGGACGACTAGTAACGGGGGAAGGGGACATGGAGCGGGGGAGACCGTGAGGGGGACTCCAGAGAGGTGATTGTAACGAAGGGTGACTGTAGGAGAGGCGAGTGGTGAGCGGCGAGGAGAGATAGTGAACGGTTCTTGGTGGTGGGATAGGCGAGCCGGCAGAGCGGGTAAGCGCACATGGGAGCGGATGGGTTGGTTCCTGACGCGCCTTGAGTATGGGATGGGATGGGACTGCCCATCGCACTGGTCATCCGGTGCAGGCTGATCTGTCGGGTCGTTCTGATTCAACTGAGCGAATGAATTTGGCACCGTCGTCACTTGCAAGCTCGTAGCTGCTGCTGATGAAATCGGTGGTGGCAGTGATTGTACTGCAGGTGCTGCTGTTGCAGGTGCTGCTGTTGCTGGTGCTGCTGTTGCTGGTGCTGATCCCGATGCCGCTGCTAATCCTGCTACTGCCGTTGGTGGTATTGCCGAGGGGCCGTTCCATACTGTTCCACTGGCCGATGACCAGGGATAGGAAACGGTCACTCTGGGCCTCGGTACAGTCACATTCAGGAGGAGGTGCTGCCAGACACAGCAGGAGAGAGGGATCTATTCGTTAGAAGCAAGTGTGCTGATTATGATCAGCATGAACAGGGACCAGCGAGGAATGAAGAATGAGGAGTTGGCACAGGACATGCGGCACTCACCTGGTTGCTGCTGACGTGGCAGCGCCACGCCTTACAGACAGCGGCGCAACTGATGAGGTCAGCGAAGGAAAGGGCGAGGAAGATTCGCTCGGCGACGTCGTAAGGGAGGAGGGAGGCCAGGCACAGCGCCGGGGGCGGCGGGGGATGCAGTGACAATGATTCTCTAAACGGCGCACAAGGTAGAGGAGGCGAGGGGTGGAGGGTAGATGGCTTTAGAGACGCTTCAAGCGATGGTGGGGAGGGGAGGTTAGTAGGTGTAGATAGCTGTTGACACGTTACGATAGAGAGGGGAGATGGTGGGTCAAGTTTGGATGGATTTGAAGGCGGCTCGAGCGCCTGGGTCGAAGGGGGGTCGAAGAGTGCGTGACCCTGGCGAATGAGGTGTGATGCGTTGTGGTGGGGAAGCGGGGAAAAGAGGGGCGGAGGGGGATGCGCAAGGGCGGGGAAGGATGCGGAACGACGACAGGAAGAGGAGGATGGGGGAAGAGGCTGTGGGGAACGGGGGAGAGGAAGGGAAGAGGAAGAGGCGGGAGGATATGGAGGGGAGGATTTTGCCCTCGTGGAAGCAGAGGCGCTGGCGGCGGCAATGTGCTTGCATTGAGCGGTCTCGCTATTGTCACATTCGTTAAAGGCGCTGTCATTTGAGTCACACTCTACTGCTAGGGCGTCTCCGTAAATGTGGGAGATCCGCGCAAGCCTCCCCGCGCGCTCGTTGATCTCCGCGCTGCTAGGCGCAATCGCCCAGAATACCACCAGGCGCGGGCAGATCCGCGCGGAAAACACCTGTGCCGATGCGGGCGCGCCGATCGCCGAGAGCAGCTCGAGTTGCCACGTGGCGGGATCTTGTTGGTGCGCGGGAAGCAGCAGCTCGTGCGGAGGCTCGGAGTAGTTCGCGGGGAGCAACGTCGCGCGTAGATGGCGCGCTGAATTGGCGGAAGAGTGGCGCGCGGAGGGAGAACGAGAGCGGATCCCGGAAAGCGCTTCGAAGCACCTCCAGGGAGCCGTATCGGGGATCTTAGAAGCGGCGCACTCCTCGCCACGTGGACTGGAATCTAATAAGCTCTCTGGTGCGGCGCGTCGACGAAGCGTGAGTGCCATCTCGACCGTTTAGTGCAAAGAAGAACTGCAGCAGCCTAATCAACCTCTCAATAAAAGCGAATATGCCCACACTTTGCTAAGAGGCAAATGATGAGGCACCAAATGCTAACGATAACACGAAATGTTTCAATCAATCTTGCAATGCTTCCCAGCCTTTAGACTTGCAAGTCGAATGACAAGTTCAGCAGCACGTAATCTAAATTTTGCCAGTCCGAGCAACCACTATGGGTATATTACGACAACCAGCGGTAATGCGCGTTATATCACGGTTCTCTACAGATTCCAATGAATTGGTCGACTCCATTATTCTCGTCCACGTAGACCCAGATTCGCGAACAGAACAGTCGAAGAAATGGCACAGCGCATTTGCGGGTTTGGTGGTTACCCGCCACCTGTACTGTAGTCCACCCCTTCAGGGATTTTTGGGATATGGTCGGTTCATATCTGCGCCTGCCGTGCTGCTCGCGTCGCGAAATTCTGGAGCTGGTCGATGTCAGTGACTTGCGGGGCGGACAATTTTCCCACCAGTGCAGTTCAGCGATCGTGTACTTCGCATATCTCCTGTAACCAGACTGATCACCTTCGTGAAACATCTAATGCGAACTCGTTTATCTGACGTGCCAGTCTCTCAGCCACAATTGTTCCTGAGCCCCGTGGAGCCACCAAAGCCCTCGAGAAAATCCACTAGGACGTGACGTCAAGTATCACCCACGTGGCACGACACCAGAGTCCTATTACACGAACCAGGCCAGACCAGGCCAGATTTCTTCCACCACCTAGGAAACCAAATTCAGAATGCCATAAAAACAGAAAGAGCATGCCATCAACAAGCCAATTCCATTTGGACTAAAGCGTAAATCTTGCTTCTGCATTCTTCTCAGGCGCTAGTAAGATCAGACTGTTGCTGCGACTCATACAAGCCTCTGACTGTCTTAGCAAAACTACCTTCTCGTGTTCTTCTGAAGGTGGTTTTTTCGGTCATTTGGATTCGTAGACACTACGGCCATGGCCACTCGATCTCTCCTCCATTCCCATTCTAGTCGCTTAGCTGTCCAACCGTCAGGACTTGTCACTTTTAGCACTAATTTCCAACAGAATGCCGTGTTTTCTCAATCCAGACAGCTAGACCCCGCCACGGCTGGCGTCATACGTGCTGAGCTCTTCGCTCATCAACCTAAAGCTGTCAATACCGTCATATCCCAGTCTAGTAGGAAGCATCGCCGAAGCATAACTCGCGCTGCGGGAAGTACAACAGGGATCGAATCCAGCAAGACTGACGTGGCAGAGGTAGCGGAAGGCGCGGTGCCGCCAGCTGTGATCGACGACCTTATCGCGTTCCTTCAACAAGAACTGCCGAAGCTGTTCGTGGAAGGGGTAAGTGACATCAATATTACCCTGACTGTTACCATGACCACTACTGGACCAGTAATCGCGAACACTGCACTGCTTTTACCGGCGTAGGTTGTTGTTGCCGGGATGTATTATTTGATACCATGACCTATAATTGTTCGAATCCTTCCAATGCTTTTTCAGGGCATGAGCTCGGCGCGCTTTGCGGACAAGGTGGAGTTCGAGGACCCCATAACGCGGTACGACACGCTGGCGGGATATCTCTTTAATATCCAGATGCTGCGGTACCTGTTTCACCCCGTCTTCATTCTCCAAGACACATACCAGGTATGCACCATAGCTCCGTAAACCAAGTAGGCTCTGATTGATGATCCATAACAGGTTAAAATGTCAACTTTCCGATAATTTTACTACTAGATAGTTACCACCCGATCGTATAGCACAACACAGCTGCGGCGATGGTTCGGACGGTGCACTCATGACATCACCTTGAGAGGTTATACATAGCACACACGTTTAAGTGAACAACCACTCGTGGAAGCCACTCGCAGTAGCCACAAACGCTACAATCTAGTATTAGAACCTACATCCCTCCCTTTCTTGTGCCACCACTGACATGTTTTCACATTGGCTTCACTTCAATCAGTGCCGTACACTGGAGCGCGTCACACGATGAACGGTGTAGATGTGTTTCTGGCTGCTCCCATGGCGACTCCTCGTCACTCCTGGCCCATTCCCCCTCTTGCCGTTTTGTGGGCAACCCTGACGGGTTTTCCCTCCTCACGGGGTTTCCGCATTCTCCTGTCCCACTTTCCCAATCTCACCCCTCCAGTCCGGCCCAGCGGAGATCACAACGCGATGGACGATGAAGATGTATTTTTGGCTACTGCCATGGCGCCCAGAGGTGGTCTTCACAGGCCTCTCAATCTACGGCATCGACCCGCGCTCGCAGCAGTTCATCAGTCACAGGGACGTGTGGGACTCCATTCAGGACAACGGCTATTTTTCCCAGGAAGGACTTCGGGATTTGGTGAAGCAGATGATGACGCTCTACTCGCCGCCCGCCCAGCTCAACTCCCCAAAGTTTGGCGTTCTGCTGCGGAGGGCAAGCTATGAGGTGGGTGTGTCCGCGTGTTGAATAAAGAAGCGGGGCTAGAGTGGGAGGGGATGCCTTCTTCTCTCATGAGGGGTTCATGTTTTGCTTGAGAAAGGCGACGTCTTTTACTACGGTGGGAAAACTAATATAGAAGAAGAAACAACAACAATGCTGATGCTGACTGTACACTCGCTGCCATGTTAGCTGAGTTTCTCTGAATTTAATGTGTTATGGCGGCAAGCAATCCACGAGGTGGGTGTGTCTCTCCACCTCCCTCTCCCCCATTGAATAGCTGGCACAAGAATTCATGTGTCCGTGTTTCTCGCTCTCCATCTCATCTATCAGCAACTATAAACTCCCATCCTCGTCTCATTCTTTCTCCATTCTCCCCCTCTCAGTGTGTTTTTTATTCCCTTCCCTGTGTGTCTCTCATTCCCCTCCTCCCCCCCTCCCCCTTCCTCCAGGTGAGGGATTACCCTGCCTACCAAGTCGTTCAGGTCAACTCGCCTGTCCAATCAACAACGGACATCTGGCCCCCTGCTCCTGGCACTCCTCCCAGTCCACAAGTGGAAAAGCTGAAGAGGTATGTCGCTGGTTTTGAGTCAGAAGCTGTATAGGTGTGTGTTGTTTTGTAGCCGGATCAAAATAAGTATAGGTCACATCTCACTGTTCTTTGTGCAATGATAAACGTTTAGAGGCAACTCTCTGTTTTGCCGCTACCAAATGCAGGGCAGTTACTAGCCATACTTTTTCTCTAAATCTTGTGATTCTTCTATCTTGTGATTCTTCTATCTTGTGATTCTTCCCATTCCAGGTACTTCCAGGGAGCCAACAGCCAGAGGAAAACTATTCCCGAGGGCCCCCTCATGATCATCAGCCCTCCAGAGTCTGCCAGGCAGGATAGAATATTAGCTATTGCCGTACCTCTCGATGCTGATGCGCCCACTCCGACCGATCCTGACCTGACTGTTGCCACAATGCCACCTGGCGCGTGGACGGCTGCATCATTTGGTGGTCTGCCATTGGTGGAAACATTCTCGTCAGCAGCTGCTGCTCTGCGGGCTGATGCCACCTCTGATGGCTTGTTGTTGGCCTCCAGAGGAGCCGGCTCAGACGGGTCTACAGCTGCCCCGGACAACACTGCGACAGATGCTGTGAAGGGAGGCACGGGGTTGGGGGGTGCTGCTTCTGCTCTGGTGTCCTACCCAAGTGGGTCTCCCATTCCGTTCCTCAAGGTACGTAGGGAGGCATTTATTTTGCATGCACTTCTCGCTCCAATTGTACCACCCATGCTCAATTCTCACGTGTGTTCTCGGAGTGCTTGTGCAGAGAAACGAAGTGCTCTACAGATTGGAAAATTTCTCGTTGGAGTCTGTCGGAAAGCAGATTTCTTGTAGCTAGGATATTTTATGTCAAACCGTTGTAATGATGCATGTGTACGGTTTAGGTATGCGCCTTGTATGTGCATGCGCCATCTCGAAAATTTCTCGTTCTAGTTCCTAGCCGTTTGACTTGTAAAACAGAGTAGCTCTGATGACTGGAAGGCTGGAAACTTGGCTGGAAGAGCTCAACAGAGCTGCTGGACTTGGCTTGATGAGAGAAAACTTACACTATGCTCAAGATTGTACAAGCCCACTAAGGCACAACTTCTTAAGCATTACAATCATGCAGATTGATAGCTCAAACTAGGCTGCTAGACAAGGCAACTTCCTGGAGAACTTAGGCACAATTCAGATTCCATGAACCTTGAGTGACTTGAGAGCCACATGAGGTGCATGAATAAGAAAGCTCTGGAATTCTCTGTCATAGCTGATTTTGTTTGGTAGAAACCTGTAGAAACTGTTGACACTTCTTCTTGAAAACAATTCCGAACTGTATCGAGAATTCGGCTCCAATTTGATTGGTTGAGAAACTTTCTGATTTGTTTGCGAAGCCTTCAATCCGTCGCCGACATTCCCCCCTTGCTGCTCCTTTTGTGCAAAGGGCTGGGGCGGCAGAAACTTGATTCTCCAACACTCCCCCTCGCACCAGACCCGAAGCACACATACGCCCATTCTTATTCTCCTCTTACATCTCCTTGGCATACACTCCATGCTGCTGCCCATATTGCTTCTCCTCATACCCCTCATTCTCCTCAAACTGCTGCACTGCTTCATGAAGTGTCATGAGACCTGCTCTTGCCTTGCACATGTTGAATGCATCATGTGGAAGAACCTCGTCATGAAATCTGCTGCTTGGTCGAATGAACGGCAAAAGTTGACGGCGAGAACTCCCTTCTCTAGTTGCTCACGGATGAAATGGTACTGCACCTCGATGTGTTTTGTACGCCCATGATGAACCGGGTTCTTGGAAAGAGCGATGGCTGAAGTGTTGTCCACGTAGAGCGGAGTCGGTTGAGTTTGCGGCTGCCTCAAGTCCTCCAAGAGTCCACGTAACCAGATTGCCTCCCTTGCTCCTTCGGTCATTGCCATGTACTCGGCTTCGGTTGTAGAAAGCGCCACACAACTTTGCTTGCGTGATTGCCAAGAAACAGCGGCACCGCACATGAGGAAGA